AATGATCAAATCATAGGGCTTGTTGCCCTGACCAGGGGCAGAAGGGTTTTTTTTAATGATTTCTTGAGAGTGATATGCCAATTCCAGGTTTACTACGAAGGAGCTTATTTAATATTACAGTGATGTCCAAACATGCTAGCTAGACTTGCAAATCTTAGCAGCAAGCCTCGTACAGCCCATAGAATGGGCTCCTGCAAAATGGAATTCCTATTGGCTGGGTTCAGAAAAAGCAGCAGAATCCCCCTCAAAAAGACTCTTAACCAGAGAACAAAGAAAGTGGCTAGCTATTACAGATTGCTAGCTTATAACATTCTAAGGCATGTGTACAGCATTCTGCATAATCATGATACATGGTTACAAGAGTAATATTGTTTACATGGGTGTTAAGAGATAATGAAGTATAGTGAGCTAACAAGGAGGATTCCTGCCTGATGTTTCATCTCTGTCTGATCATCAAAGCATAGACTCATTACTGCCTCTTGCTCACAAAAGTAAAGTTTTTGATAAGGTGTGCTCAAGGGCAGTGTGCATGGTCCTTGCGTCTACTCAATATCAAGAAGGAAAATTCTCTAGCTTCATGAAAGCAGACCGTCATGGTGAAAGCGATGCTAACTAAGGCTCTATTGTCCTATTGTAAGCAACTAAACTTTAATGCCAAGTGATGCAAGCAAGTTAAAGGATGAGAGATCCAGGCCTGTTTTTTTTTTTTGTTTTTGTTTTTTGTTTTTGGCAGGGGGGTGGGTTCAGGACTGTTACAGGACTGAAAGGAACCTCCATGGTCACTTCATTCCATGTAGATGTTGAAAAGCCTTTAAGACAAGAATCTTGCATTCCCCTATAACCCAGTGGCCATGAGTTAGAGTAGAAGTCCCCAAGCACAACTTGAGACAGTCCAGGAAGGAGCAGAATAACCATAATGCCACATCTCCCATGTCCAACCCAAAAGTAAACAATGGTATTGAAAGCAATGAGATGTCCAGGAGAACCAGAAAGGAATAGACCTGTCCATTTCATGCTAGAAGTCATCCACTGGGGTGACCAAGGCTGCATCTGTCCCCAGACCAGGACTGGAATGGATCCAGTCAGCATCAGCTCAAGCTACCTGAAGACAATAGGCTATCTCATTCCATCACTGCTGAAAAATGTCAAATTTGGGACTGGGCAGTAACTATCAGAAACTATTGATTTATAGACTAGATTTCTTCTATACTACAGTTTCACCACTGCCTCCTTTAAGCTCATAGGAACCACCCTTTTGCTCAGGGAGACACTGATCACCAAACTGTGGAGCTAGAAATAAGGAATTAAATCAGTGAATACTTCTCTTTTTCCTATGTTTTGGCAGCTTTCTTTTGGGATGAGGTAATAAGTTGGATACATTTTGCAATGGAAAGTCCTTTAATATTCAAAGATACACATGCCCTTCTTAACTACCCACTTGTCATTTGGGATTTAATGCAAGGTCAGTCTAAATGGATCTTACATGCTCTTTTGACAGCTAACAGACTAAATGTAACAAAGAAAGGTAAAGGACAAGCAAAGCTGGGCTGTGAGTTTGTGTTGCCCTTGTGAGAGCCCTTGCGATGTGCCAGATGAGCCAGCTTTTCTCTTCTTTCAACTTCCCTCATAATCGGGATGAGCATCATCATCTACTCCAGGTCCTCTCTTCAGTGGAAGAAGGCACGAGGCAAGCAAATTGACTTCACTGTGCATAAGCCTTCTCCAATGAGAGAAGCCCGTGACCATGGAACCAAGCCACTTACTGCCCTGTGCAGTGATTGAACATTCACTAGGAACACTGGAAGGGTCCAGATTACATGCGAGGGCATAATCCCACTCACTTGGTATTATTCAACCTACAGAGGACTGTTTGGGATGTCATTTAAGACCCCTCTCTGCTTAGACACTTGGAAGTGACTGGTCGCAGTTGTCAAAACTAAGAAAATGAAAACTAGATGTTGGGCTAGAGGACATCCCCTTTAAGGGGTTAAAGGAGCAAACAAAAAACCCAAGTGAATGAAAATGGGCTTGCAGTTATGGCAGGATGAACAAGCTGGTCCTGCTCCTGGATTCTCTGGGGAAGTAATGTGAGGACCGGAGAGGGAAGGAAGGAAGGATTGAATAAGCCAGAGTGAGCCTGATCCTCTGTCAGTGCGCAACAGCCAGACCACTTTGAGTTTTTGCATGCAAACGGGCCTGTACAGTTCATCAATATACTCCATGATATAAGGAGCTAGAAGTTATTGAAAGGACAGGATATTCTTTGTGTAAAACCAGGATACATGCTCTGCTAGGAATGCATAATCTACCTAGGAGGGTGGGGGAAGACAAGAGATGGTGCCATTTCATTGGTTTCTGTATTTATTATTAATTTGACAGAACTTGTCAAGAAATAAATTTCTTGGGATTATGTTAGTATAAGCAAAAATAATAATACCTTGCTTATTTTTTAAAAATTGAATTAATAACTACCTTTCATTTAGGCATCTTTACTTGAAGCTTTCCTCCACTTAGGTATTTTCATATTAGTCCAACATCAGCTATTTTCATAAAATGGAGATGTGTTTATTCCTTGTGGATGATACTTTTGAATTAACATTCCTTTTGGATAATGGAAGACATGTGTATTTTTCTAAGTTGTATAAATGTTCTAATATTTCAGATCAGAGGGAAAATGTACTTTTCAGCACACAGACTGTTATATCTCATGGCAGGGTATAAACATATGTGCACACAGTTTTCTTTTCTTTTTTATTAAATGCATGATATAGAATTCTCCACATCCTATACAATGTTAAAAAAGGATGATGGTAAAAGGCTCACTCTTCTCAGCAAAATATAGCAATGTATTTGAATGTTTAGCATTTTTAATTATTCTTTCTTCCACTTGAGAGCACCATGTGCCCAATTGTCATCTACAAGAGGGAGTGACTAGAAAGAAACTTAACCCAGGTCCCAGGTCCATGATGGTGCGAACAAACAGAAATAGGAATAATACACACCATCACTCAAACATCCAGGTTGGGGAAGGGCAGGCAAAGGGAAGTGACTTGCGAAGAAAGGGTAAGGTACTGTCATCACTCTAAATTGTCCTTTGCCAAAGTAGCTTTTAACTTGAAAAAGAAAAAGCCACCAGGGTTCTGTTACCTGTATTTGCATGTGACATTTAATTAGCCCCTTAGCTTATGTGCCAAGAGGGAAGTTTCTTGACATGGACTCTTTCAAATGTCAGGACCTTAATTATTATATTTGATTAGAAATTAAATCTATGTGCTACTGGGAAAACCAACATGAGCCATATTTTACTGTGCATTTGAAAGAGAACAGAGTTAAGACTGAATCGTTCTTCAGTGCTGTTCAGATGATCTAGAAACAGTCACACATCTATATTCTCTCTCCCAAACATGTCAGGCTATACACAAATGTGGTATTAAAACTATTACACAGACTTGGTTGAGGACTTATTAAACTGCACACTCTGTAGAAGTGCAAAAAATAACCATTGGTTCCAAATTGATTGGTACATGGAGCTGAGTTAGAATGCCATGACCTGGTCCCTTCTTTCTTTCCTTCTGATTATTAGACTCAAGACAATCCTTTGAAGTTTTATTGAAACTTAGCAGATTACAGAAGAGTATGAACTCTAAATAGCCTTCTGCCATAAATGAGGGAGAAACATTTGGCCATGTAAAGAGTTGAATCCAAACTGGGAACTCCCCCTCTGTCCCTCCCTTTCAGTAAAATTTCTAACTCCTCTCTCAGGGTGGCTCTTGCTGCAGGAGGGCTGAGAGGAGTGAAGACTTTATGCTATTTAGTGTTGCATTTTCTTTTTGACATGTAAATTGTTCTAATGCCTTCATCGACTGTGCTTAATGGTAGGACATTTGGCTACAGAATTGGCTACTATGCAGGCACATTCTGTGTTTCTTTGACTAAATATAATTGTTTATCTTAAGGTAGTATAGTGGCACTAACAACACGATATGTAAATTTCACATCTGAAGACAGGGCAACCTTATGTATCATCTGGATGTTTTATTCCCCCCCCCCCCCACGCCACCCCACAAGCTATGTGATCTGGTACTGCATAGGGCTGCTTCATGTGTCTGAATCACTTACTCATCTGTTGATGACTCAACCTTTGATGACTATTAACTGATCATATGTAGCAATTCTGTTGAAAAATAATTTGTGTTTGCAGTGAAATCTGGTGATGATGTTGTGCTCGCTGTGGCTTATTCACCTGCAAATCAGTGTTTTGCAGTACTGAATTCATCAAGTGATGAACATGTAAATGTGATGCAGCCCAGAGCAATAGTGTGGATGCAATTAAACTTTTCTCGTCTACAATCATATTGGCGGTTGCACTTAGATCCCAGAGAAACCAGAGTGGCAATTTAGTTGGCCAGACTTCATCTAGATCCAACCTATGATCTTAGTTGGATTGAATTTTAATATCAGTATCAGTCTGAATAATCGAGACAGTATTGATTTATTTAGAAAATGAATAAGCTGTTCTTCAGCATAAACTTCCAGGGTTGTAACTAATAAGAAATGTTGCATTGCAATTGTCTCTAATAATTTTGTTGCTGGAAAATATTATATTTTGCATAACCTGTTGTTAAACCAGGGAGTTAAAAGCTTCAAGAATGGCAGGCTGCACAATATTATAGGTTCCTCTATCTCTGAAGGACTGTTTTTCAGCTGTCAAAACTCGTAAGAGCCTATTGAAGCTTTCAATCAGAATGAAGTAGCTTGGTGGAAAACCAGAGCTGCTTCATGATCTAGAATACAGCTTGTCAGAAAATAAATTTGTCTGCTTTGATGCTGCATGTGTTGAAATGAAATGGAAGTGTTATGACTTATTGCTTCTATCTCCTATAATCCCCTTTCAAATGGAAAAAGTGACACAGACAGCTTTTGCATTGGTCAGAGCTTACAAGTAAACTTGTTTAGATATTTGCCGTTTCATAAACAGTTTTCATTGTGTCCTTTCACAGGTAATATTGTACCCAACATCCAATAGCTCGAAGTCACCTGAGCTGCATAAAATGATAGTCCCTAAAAATAGCCAAGATTCTGATCTGAGAATAAAACTGGCAGTGCGAATGGATAAACCACCACACATGAAGCATTGCGGGTAAGTGTCTGCTCTCCAAAACAGCAAATTTTAATTCCATTTTAAGTGCCTACCTAATTTTACCTTATACTGTTGGAAGGAATAATAAATAATAAAGAAGCAATATAAATATGATTATGTGAAACATGACGTTTATTTAAGCAAAGTAGAACTTGTGCTTGAAATAAATATGAATATAGACTGTGTGCAATGAATCCAGATGGTGGGATGACAAATTAAACCTCCAGGTTCAAGAGGGCGTGAGAATCCAAAAATCACACTGAGCATGTCTAAGCCTTCGGACACAGCTGCAGTAGCTCAATGAAATGGTTTGGATCCAGGTCACTTAGAGAACCAGCTTTGCTCATTCTAACCTGTCGACCCTTCAAGAGGAACATAAGGGGACCTATTTGCATATCTACTTGTAGCAGCATGAGTGCTATGCTGGCAGGCATACGGGAGAGGACTCACTTAATGGTAGCTACTTACTTGTGGAACATTTTTCTGGTTGATTTCTGCCAAACCCCAGCACTGCAAGCCTTCATGTGAGCCTGAAAATCTCAACTGTTTGCCTTGTCCTGCAGTTTAAGCCAAGATTACCCAGCCTGCTGTGCTCCTGACATTTTGGACTTCAGTTCCTATCAGTGCAGGAAGGCACCATATTGGAGAAGGCTGATTTTAGCTGTTGCTTGGCCTAATTTAAATGATTAGCTAAACATTTACCTTGGCCTATAATTTAAGAGTCCAAGACCCTACATATGCATGCATATAAGGTGCAACATGGTTTTAAATGTTAACTTTGGTTTTATCATAGCTCCTAGTGTTCTGTGGCTTTGCCTTGTATGCCCCCTTACGCAGTTTACCCTAAAAAGTAGTTTATAATAAATAGTTTAAATAACTGAATGAATTAATGATTAATCCTGGTCCTTGTCAGAGATACGGATATCTGGCAAATCCTTCAAAGATTATTTGCCACAGTTGAGTGTGAACCCATTAATGAGAAACAATCAGAAAACTCTGCCTGAGGAGGAACAAACAGTTCCACATGTAGCAAAATGGAAAGGTCACTGTATACATAATTTATATAGGATTTTTAAAAATTTATGAAAATATTTCTTTGAGCTACATCCGAGAGTGGCTTTAATTTATTAGGATTTAACTGTTCTGTCTGCAAACTGCAAGCCCCGGATTCTCAAGCACCTTTGCCAACAAATCTTATGTTTTCTCATTGAAGAATCTAAAGGGCAGATTCTAAGCCTAATCCTGTTATTACAGCTTCTACAGCAGACTTCCTTGACTGGCTGCACACACAATGTTTTAGCTAACTCCTTGCTTTCCTGACTATTGCCTGTGCTGGCTCGGCTGTTAGAAGCTGAAGTCCAAAATAAGGCATCCGGATTGCTTCACACATATATCCAGCATATATCCTGCTTACACATGTGCCTAGTTGGGATTCAGACTGCTGTTGTGGCTTTTACCACTTCTATTTTTACTACAGTTGTCAGTCTCCTAGGACTCAAAGACAGTCTTACAAAACCTTTCTTGGGTTCATTGGGAAGTCACAGAGCTAAGCATTTAATCTCATTCAAGCATTCATGAGACTTAACTAAGTCTCTAAAATGCAGAAGAATTCTTAAAACATTCTAACTGATAATATTAATCCCTGGGGACTTTACTTGCAGTACAGATTAGCCCGAGTACTGGTTCTGGTTGATTCAAAATCATGCAACACGGCTAGATCCATGTTTCAGTCAAGTTACAACACATGATTTAAAACAGAATCAGCCTTGATTTATGGAAACTCATAGCTATAGACTTATTGCTACACTGTGTGATGTTGTATACTTTTGGCTGCTGATTGATAATATATTTTATGAATTGTTGGCTTGTAAACAGAAGTCATGCTTTTAAATGAGTCCTTCTGACACACATTTTAATTCACATCTGACCTGAATAAATAAAATATGTGGCTTTCTAAGTTCTGTAAGAAAGGAATACAGAAATCAGCACAACTCGAGGTCATGGTTCTTAGTATTCTGCTTTAAGCTCTGTCTGATTTGTGTTCGTGTGTGTCAGACTGTGATATTTTTCCTGTGTGGAAGTTACAAAGAACTTGGATGCATGTTCAGAAGTGTGTAATCTTCTCCTATTGGATGAAGATTGTGCCTTGTGCACATTTTTAGGTACACATTTTTTCATGAATATTTTTCTAATTTACACATTTTTAACACAATTCTCCATCCCTATCCTATTAATAACAATGCAAGCTTGGGAATATACAAGGTTTGATTATAGATTGCTCTCATGTTTGCAGGTGATTTCTGGAAGCACAAATAGATATAAATTCAAAAAGTATATGTAAATTCATTTCAACAAAAAATGAAACTAGTTTCTTTTATATCTCTGTGAGAAATAGATTTGATCAGAAGAGTTATGTTTTAGCATAGCCTAGTGGCTAAAACCTTGTATTGCTGCAGGAAATAAAACATTTAAACATACAGCTGTAAAATAAAACCTTGCATTATTGAAATGGAAAATAGTTAACTGGTCAGGCAAACTGAAAGACAAAAGTAAACCTTACAGTTGGCCTTGATGTCTTTTGTGGTGATGGACTGCACCTTAAAACATATATCACCTTGTGTCATAGGAGAGATAGGACAATGATGCTCTTAAAGGAAATGGAATGTTTAAGGAAGAATTGGGTGCTACAGTTGACACTTGTGGTTTATAAGAGTAGGATGGAATTGTTAATTCTTGGCCTATTGGAGGGCATAGTTCAGAGCTCAATCCTATGCATGTTTAGACAGAAAAAAAGTCAGCTCTCAGCATTCCCACGACAGGTCCGCTGTAGGACTTTTTTTCTGTCTATATATATCAGATGTAAACTTGGTATTAGAGATTTAGCCCCACACTCCCAACTGACATCTGTTTTGCAGGCCCTGGTTGCCCCAGATAGTCTCATCCTCAGACATAACTTTCAGATTTTCCTGCTTCTGCACGAATAATTTAATGGTTCTAGGCACAGCTGCTTCACTCACACCATGTTGATTGAAAATGATTGCATTACAATACACTCAACATAGTTTCTTGTGCTTTTGACCTGAGAGTGAAATACTCAGCAGAACTCATCTGTCTGACCTTGAAGAGCTGGGGAGAGTTAAGGCTGCTGCAGAGTGATGGGTTTGCAGAGAGAAAGGAATAAATGTTTCCCTAGTCCCTTCCCTTCTAGCCCCAACCTATTATTTCTGCCTCCTTCCCTTTGGAAGTGTTTGCAGATAGCCTCAGTTGTTAGACAGGAGAGTGCATGCCTGAAACGTCAAGGTTTTGCATACATGAAACCTGTAGGAGTCTGGGTAACTATGTTCATGATGTAATGAAGATATGGACAGTTAGAGAAATGGAAAATAGCCCCTAAAGAATAAAACATTACAAATTGACAGGCTAGCACTAATTTATCGGAAAGCATAAATCTTTAAGGTAACTCACATCTCTGAGTAGCTTACAGGCACCTGGGTTCCATGAAAAGATACAAGTCACAACTCTCTGAGCCGACGAGCTGGAAAGAAAGTCCTGGCTCAAAATCATGCTCTTCTGAAGAGGTGCTACCCAGTGGTGGAGGTGCGGGAGGTGAAATGCTGATCTAATCAAACAGAATGATGACTGTATCAGATTTTTGCACATAAGCTTGAAAGTACTTTGCACATAGTTAAATTGCTGGAGGTGTAGTGTAGAGAGGTGTAAATTGGAGGATATAAATTCCTTCCTCTCAAACATTTTCTTCAGAGATGAACCACTCAGCGCCTATGTGTTGGCTCATGTGCTGCCTCAAATGTGCAATTTTGAAGAAAAATGGGAGGGGCAAGAGAAGGGTTTTTTGTTTATTTTTTTGGTTAAACCTCAAAAGCCTCTTACTGTGTTTTCTAAATTGATTGCAAATTTATTTTCCATTGCATGTTGCTACTCTTGTAGATGGTGATTTCCACATCTTTCTATTCCTGTTTAATCCCTCCGTATAGATTGTTATGTTTCACTTGTAGCGTGTCACAATATGAAAGTAGGAAAGCATCTTGTTTAATTAACAGGTTTGGCTATTGTACATATGCATAGCATCTTCATTACAGATTCTATAACACCAGTGGCTTAACATGTAGTAAATTTTATTTTTTGCCCCCTAAATATGAAGACATTGCGACAACTCAGTATTTGTTTTCTCTTCATTTTAGAAGAATCTTTTGATTTTTAATTCATTTCACTGAGAAAAGGAAAACTGAGCTGCATAGCAAGCAATGCATAAAATATGTTAATGATTAATTGGATAATGAGGAGAAAGTTCAATATAAAATAGCCAGGAATGGAGAGGGGGGGGGGAGCAGAACTGTACTTCCTCCTGCTAGATCCTTAGAGATGCTTAGCAATGAGTTTAATTTTAATTATTCTTGCAATAATCACTAGCAAGGGAATCTTGGAGACCTTGACAACAAGTTCCAGCTCTTTTAATTGCAGAGAGTACCTACAGGACTTTTAATTGCCAAAGGATATATTGCTAAATGAGGCATTACTTTGCATTCATTTCAAAGTAACTAACATGAAACATTTGTAAAACATGATCTAAAGTCAACTTCACTTAATGACTATTGACTTGGGCTGAGGTTTTGCAGAAAGCTGTGCATTAGAAAGTCCCCTTGATTTCACAGATTTTGTCATGGGTTACAACGTTTGGCTACGTTGTATTGCAACCCTAGACATCCCCTTTTCTCCCTTGTGGTCTTTGTGACACACACGTGTGGGTCAATGCACCTGTGCAGAACAATAGTCAAAATATTTTCATTATTCAGTAGACCTTTTTGCCAAGAGCTCCTCTGCATACACTCCAGGCATGACTACCACCTGCATCTCAGTTCCTTTCTTAATGCTACTGTGAAGGCAGCTCTTTGGAATGGTTTCTGCTTTTCAGAAGGAAAAAATAGCTTGTTCTAGCTTAGTTTTTCCTGTTCCCTTTCCTTCCTGCCCTCTATAGAATT